CGAGAACTAGAAAGGCGAGGCTCACCACCCATTTATCCCTCCGCCTTTCAATTAGCCCCACATGTGATTACCGGCCAGGTTGGCACAATTAACTAACTCAGTTACTTTTACATTTAGGGGAACATTGAAAATGAGAACATCGATAGGGTCCAAACAACTGGGGCCTTAAAGGTGTATGACTGGCCATTTGAGGGGCCACTATGGGTCTCTCCCCAATAAGAAGAGTGATGAAAATCGAAATTCACGGGGAAACAAGTAGTCCAGTGGACTAACGGGCCACCCAAACATCTATCTCTACAACGCAGACACCAGAACTAGGCGGGGCTTCATAACCAGCTCTTCTGAAAAGGACCCCACTAGTCGGTCCTAGAGAGAAGAGGAAAAAAATGCGAAACCAAACTCACAATGATAGAAACGAGACCAGGCTTACTAATTGGATAGTCTGGTGAAACTCCTGAAACTGTGGCTCCAGGCACCCTTCAGATCTGGACCTGAGCTCACCCACTGGCTCACATTTCAGCCAAGCAACAGACAGGTCTGGTAGGGGAGCAACATCGCTGGTGAGATATACACGGCTTAGCATCACCAACCACTGTAGGTCCCAAGGGCAGCGTTTGTTCTGGGGGGTTCGCGCTGAGGGAGGGATGGAGACAGGAAACACAGGGAGCCGGGGAGTGAGGTCACATGGAGGGGCCCCACTGGATGAGAGGACACAAAATGGGTGTCAACTACTGAATGGAAACCCATGGGCTCTCCTGTAAACCTGCACCCAGTTCACAAATTTTAAAAACAAAATAGCGTCTACAAAACACTCCCCCCTCAGCTTTTGACTGACTATCGGTGAGGACTGTGTTTTAAATTCTGTTCCGTTCAGAACCCTCCATTAAGAGCCATCAAATCATGAAGCACCCCCAGGATGATGGAAGGGCCACAGCAAGGAGAGGGGGGCTGAAGACCTTTAAGTCAGGATCCTCAAGGCAGCGCACAGTGGGAGCGCTCCAATGCTGTATTTTAAATGTGGCATTTGCTGCAATGCAATTTACATTTGGAAGATGAAAACAATACTTAATGCCTTCATAGCGAAAGAGAGAAACGGGGGGAGGCACATGGAAGCTCATCAGAAAAGCAACTTGTATTTCAAAAGACACTACACAAGACAATGTAAAGACAGATCGGCTGAAAATATCTGCAAATTACAAATCTGATTAGTAGCTTGTATTTAAAATAATACATAAGGTACTCCTATAACTCAACCATGAAAGGACAAATGAGCTGAGGATTCGAACAGTCGGGTCTTCAAGAAAGACAGGCACACGGCCAGTCCACACACAAGACGCCAACCGCCATCAGCCGTCAGGGAAATGCAAATCGAAACCATGGGAACGTGTCACC